TAGGAAGCTGGATAGGATTTGGAAGGAAATCCTTAAACAGGACATGAATATTTATTCCCTTCAAGTTGATTCACATCATTTTATATTATTAAAAACTAGATGTATTGATGGAACATTAAAGTTGCAATATCCACTTTTTTCATGTCAACTTATATTTAAGTGCTTAAAAACTAAATCTCAAATTATTTTGATGTTATTCCTTCAACTGTTAAAATAGAACTATTTTTAAATTCCATGTTTATGTACCAGGTAAACGAAATCAGGGGTCAAATTAGCAAGTTATCTGTGGTTTGGAGTATAATAATTGAAAATTTGAATATTTGATCCTTAATCTAAATTTATGTGGCAGAAAAAGTCCTTTTATAAAGTTGTATTTGTACATATGTGATAGGCCAATGCGGCAATGCCCATGTCGGTTGGAGACTCAGAGACACTACCTTAGACACTTGTTTGATACATGTCGAACAATTTTCAAGCGTGCCACAACTATATAATATAATTTGGGGGTATTCGTCGAGCACTTCTTGGACACATGCCATATATATATAGCACGACACTTTGTTCACATTATTTGTTTTTGTTGTTGCATATGCTGTACAAGTGTATATCATTATACTGTTCAATATAAGACATGAGATGGATTGAGTTACTCTGTCAAAAGTTGGTTAGCCAAGGACTATTCCTTTTGTAGAGTCATGGATATCTATTGTAGATTAAAACTTTAGGATATTCATAATCCTTTATTTTCGGGCGTTCAGATGCCCAAACATGTATAAAACTCTTTTTACTATATATGTATGTTCTATTGACATTACTCTTGTTCGAGCAATTTGCTTTTGAAGTAATCTCTTGTGCCAGCTACTTGTTTCTTAGATCTATGCACTTTTAGAACCTTGCATGCCACATTTTACTGGGATTTTGACCTCCAAGATCATATGTCTAAGTAATCTGCTACTCACTTGTCTAGTCCTTGCAAATTCAATTTAGTAACCCAACCACGATATTTGGGATAAAGGCTTTGTTGTTGTTGTTGTTGTTTAGTCGCTCTAAATTTGACATGTAAACCTCATAAAGTTTGCTACTTTCAGTTG